TGTTCAGCAATCATGGGACAGACACCCATCAGGTATAAAGAGAACATTCACTGTTACATGGCAGGGGAAATGAATTCCTGGATCCCAATATAAGAAAAAAGCAAGATGTGAGTGCAGTATACCACATTCACATTTGCAAATTAGGGCTTGGATGAGCCCAATTTTGCATTTTACATATCACAAAGTATGCTGTGGCTTTGTAAGAGACTTAAGATTTTAAAAGATGATCAAAATGTTCCCTTTGGGAAAGAGAATGATTGCTTATCACTCACTCATTATCTCTTCTGAATCTCACATCATTCCTTTGAGGTAGGTCCTACAAATAACACTATCCCTGTTTTACAGATGAAGAAACTGAGACTCAGAAAAATTAAATTATTTTCCTGAGGTTACACAGTTAGTAAACAGCAAAGCTAGACACAAATCTAGTTCTTCTGACTCTGAATTTATTCTTTTCTCTACTTCATCTAGGCCATTTTTTAAACTTAAATAGGAATTCAGGAAATTTTAGCACTTTTGAGGAAGTATGAAGTACTGGAAACAGCACAAATTTGGAATTCAATGAACTGTGTTCAAATGTTGACACTACCTGTGCAGCTTTTATTAAATCAATTTCCTTCTCTGGGCCTCAGTTTTATTTTTTTTTTTAATTTTTATCAGTAAATTAAGAAGATTGTATTGGTTGATACCTAAGGTCCCTTCCAGATCCAAGTCCTAGGAAACAATCAACTTTTTATGTAAGTAGACATTTGATTAGTAATGTGTCAAATGGGTTCTTCCTGTTTTAAATAGATTAACTAGTTTATTAATTAATGATACATGAGAAAATAAGGGTGTAACCAATAAAGGGATGGCCTTGGAGTATAGAAAACCTGGATTCAAATCTCCTCTCAAATGATTACAAGCTATGTGACACAGGCAGGTCACTTATTCTCTCTGTATATCAATTTCCAAATCTATAAAACTAGAGGAATAAACAATGGCTTCTAAGGTCTCTTTACCTTTAAATCAATAACCCTAGAATGTTAGTGTCCCAGGCAAGCATTATAAGTTACAGATAAGTTGAAAACTTCACTGAAAGTTCCTCAGAGTAATTAAATTTTTTTTTCTCTTTCAGCTGACCCCTGCATTTTAGGGAACATCCTTTACTCCAACTGTTCTACCTATAAGGAAAAGGTGTGTCATTGTGATTTCAAGTATAATCCTCTGACTATAATCCCTGTCTCTAACTTTTCTTTGCTCATTATGACAATTTCATTTAAAGGATGTGTTTTTTCTGTTTTTTTTCTCTCACCCTTAATCTTAAACTCATAAACCATTTTTACAATAGTGATATATTTCATTATTGTCTTAATATTTTTATAAATCCAAAAACTGGGGTTTATGGGTAGAAGAGAAAAGAATGCAATTTTTGACCATACAAAAAAACCTCAGTCTTGAAGCCAGAGTATTAATGCATGTCATATGCAGGATTTGAACACAACCTGAACTAACAAAGAAGTCATTATCTACTCTTATTTTGGAGGAAGTCTTTCTTCCCAAATACTAGGGCTAGATGAAAGAGTTAGGATGTGCCTACTCCAAGCACCTGTCTCTAGGCTGGACACAAATTAATTATCTCAGCAGATATGTTTTCTGTAATGTTCAAGAGCTCTGGGAAGTCATCACCACAACAGTAATTCTTTCTTCCAGGTAGTTCCTTTTTGTGTCCAATTTCAATCATTCCTATAAGAATTTGTACCAATTTTTTCATTCTGTCCTTCGGGTTATAGATCACATGGTCCTTTTTGAGAATGAAAAACGGCTAGTCAATCCTTCAGTCTTTTTTTTTCAAGGCACAAAATCTCAGTTCTTTCTACCTTTCTTTACTGATTCCTTCATTTCATGCTTCAGTCCCTTTCATCATTGCTCAGTGGGCATTTGTAATTTCTAAGCTTGTATACAATGAAGACATCTATGATTCTAAAGCTATGCTTCTTTCAACTGAGAGAGATCATAGCCCTCTCTACCACCATCACCAATTCCACCACCATTACCCACTTCCACCAACTCCATCCAACCTTCATTTTAGTCCTTTGTATTTCTTACTCACATTGCTTGATTTGAAAAAAATATTATGTAATTATATATGTACATAATGTAGTTATTTTTTAAATTCTGAATATCCTTTTAAAACATACAGAAAGTCCAAATGAGCTGTGTACTCTCCCTAAGAGTACAATCCATTTAAGTCTTTATTAATGACTTTTACTGAGCATTATCATGCAAAAAATACAGTGTAGGTCATAAGCACATTGTTCATACTTACATTCAAAAAGAAATGAAACAAACAGAATTTTTAAATCATTTAAGGAGCTCTGAAAAGAATGTAAGACCTAGTTAATATTTATAAATATTCATTCACTTATCATAGAATAGTTGCCCTAGATCAAGGTTCTTAACATTTTGTATGTGATTTGCCAGTCTGGCAAAACCTATGGACCTCTTCTCAGAAGAATGTTTTTATATGCATAAAAAAAATAGAAAAGATTACAAAGGAAACTATTTATGTTGAAATATAGTTAACAAAAAAAAAGTTTTCACTTCATTGATAAGCTAAGAATCTCTGCCCTATAGAAACAGACTTTTGAAATGGCCTTTGAAGGAAAAGGATCATGACTTGTTTATCTTGGAAAGAACACTGGCCTGGAGTCAGAAAGCCTAGATTCTAGTTGTGGCTGTGTGACTTCCAATATGTGTGACCGTAGGGAAGTTAACTTCTCTGAGACTGTTTCCTCATCTATAAAATAGCAACAATATGGCATATTCTCTCAGAAGATAGTTACAAATATTAGAGAAATCATGTGGTCTGACAGCACTATATGAGTATGGCTCTCATTTTCACTGAATTTCTTTTACCTTCCTCTCCCATTTTTTTTTCTTTTGACTAGACCTTTGATTTCATCTATGTAGGAAGCTCTCAGTAAGGAATTTTCTCTACTAATACAGATTAGTAATTCTTCTGCAATTTACAAGTTTTAGAAGATTGCTTTGGGCACTAAAAAGTTAAGTGGTTTGTCCATGGCCATACAACCAATAGGCATCAGAGACAGGATTTGAATCTTGGTATTTCTGAATATAAGACTTGCTCTCTACCTACTACAGGAAGCTAGATGGCACAGTGAATAGAGTACCAGATTTGGAGTCAGGAAGATTCATCTTCCTGAGTTCAAATCTAGCCTCAGATATTTACTAGCTATATACCCTGGGTAAGTCACTTAACTCTGCCTTGGTTTTCTCATCTGTAAAATGAGTTGGAGAAGGAAATGGCACACCACTCCAGTATTTTTGCCAAGAAAAGCCCAAATGGGATCATGGAGTCTATAAAATTGAAATGACTGAACCATGAATTCTATATACCACACCAATGGTGTCAAAATCAAATAGAAATAAGGGCCACCAAACCATACATAAAGACCCCTGTAGGCCACAGGTATTTCTAAGTCAATGCTTAGAAGAATTTGTTAATACATTAATACATGAAAATCAGATAGGAGCTACATTTTAATCTGGTTTGGGCTCTACCTGGGAGTGTTGTGTGTCACACGAGGGCCACAGTCATTTGTTTGACATTTCTCCACTACACCATGTTACCTCTTAGCATATTATGCATATGTACCAAAATTCCACTGATATCAACTTTATTTAGCAGTGCTATCTATGACCCTTGCATGCACATAGAAATAAGATCACTAAGTCTAGTTGTGTTTCTTTTTTTAATATGATAAGCCTAGTAGCATGACTCCATAGTCAAAATGTTTTTTGAACTTTTGAACTTAAATTTATATTTAAATGTTCTGCTTATTAGCAAGTGATCTGGAACATAACACCTCAATTTCTTCAACTGTAAAACATGTGCAGCTGTAGTAGGGTGGGGTGCTGAACAGAACTATTCAATTATTCCTATTTGCCTCCCTCCACCTAACCACTAACTCATTGCCTAGATGAGTTTTGTGGTATATGCTTTCCTTCTTTTCTCTGAGACATTGCAAAAGGATGTATAATTCTATCTTTTTTAGCTCTAAGCCCCCTGAGAGAAGGACTGTGTTCTGTCAAAGTACCTCAGTGTTACATTCCTCTTTCTTTCTTCTTTGGTGATGTTTCCCTCTCAACTACATCTTCCTAACTTCATTGCCAATAAGTAAACCCAGAGTAACAAATGCCTGTGGTTAAGTGTTTATAAAGGCAAATGTATAAACATGTACATATGTATATATGTTATGAAGTAAACATTTCAAACAAAGTAAGTCTGGTAAGTCAAATACTGCCAAAACAAAGCAAGGCAAACAGACTCTTCCTGGGCCCAGTTAGAAAAGCTTCAGGTTTCCATGAGCAAGCCCAAAATGAGAAAGGACGTAGAAAATTATGGTCTTGGCTTGTGGCCTTGGCATCTGTACTGGGGGAAGGGAAGGTGATACAGTTCAGAAGCACAGAATCCACCCCAACACTTAAGCCTGATTAGCCAAAACAATCTTCATTCATTCATTCATTCACTCATAAAGTCTTCTGGCTCTTCCTCTTGTGTTGGCTGCCTTTACCTATATTTCTATTTTCCCAACTCTATCTCCATGTAGCTATCCAGTGCTGGGTTAGTCCTCAAGTCTCGCTTCTGCTAGGACTCCCTTAAACTCACTGGCTCTCAGAGGGTTCTATTGTCTTCTAAAAATCACCCAAGAGCATGACTATTCATTTTTTTTTCCTTTGTCCAATGTTATTGTTCCCTTTCTAATTCACTCAAGAGACATATATCGCATAAAGGGTTATATTTTTTCAGCTAATTAATACCCCTTTCCCCACCCTTTTTTCTTGTGATTAGTTCTGTGAAATCCTAACTCATTTGCAAGAGGATAATAATACCTGTCAATAACTTATTTATCTAATTATGATGAAAAAAACTCCAAAATCATTTTAAGCACATCTCAAATGACTATGTTGCCTTTTTTTCTTCTATTTAGCAGATAATGAATAATACATCAACGAATCAAATTATAGGTCCCAGTGCACCCAAGGTAAGTAATAAAGTCTAGATTATGATTAAGAATATCTGATCCACATTTTCTAGGTCAAATGACTATATTATCCCCTATTATTCTCTTTCTTATTGTAGAAAATTCATCTTTATTACTCTTTTATTTTTAAAACCCAGATCTTCATTTTTATTTTTTTTTAACTCGCAATGCATCAATTCAAAGGGAGATTGTCAACAAGTACAATGAACTAAGAAGGATGACAAATCCCACTGCTAGAAACATTCTAAAAATGGTAAGTCAAATTCTCTCAGATTCTACTAATTAATTTAATTGCCACTACATAAAAGGTGCTGAAGTAATATCTGATCAGACTAGATTTAGATAACCATGTTCAGCTGTATAAATCAAATTTTGTAAGGAATATAAAACTGGACTGCATTCAGAAGAGGGATTAAGCCTTGTCTAACTTGACCCTTGAGGTCAGGGCAGATATCTGTTCATATAAAAAAGACTATTTCAAGCATTAGAGCTATCCAGAAATAGTATAGATTGCCTTCTGAAGGAATGATTATCCCATCACTGAAACTAAATGATATGAGGAAAGTCAGGGATTTTTGTAGTGTATTCCTCTATTAGATCAAAGGTTAAGCTAGATAACTTCTAAATCCCCTTATAATTCTATGATACTGGGAAATTCTATGGATAATCTAGGTTTTAGAGTGAAGATTGGCCTTTGTTGATCTTTCATATTTAACCTCATTTCTAAGTAGGATTCTTCTGATACTACATTTAGGTGAGTTTGAAAATCTACCAAAATATTCTATTTTTCATTGAGCTTATGTCCAGATTTCCATAACCAGGTCCTTAAGGCAATGCCTTAGTGAAGCTCATTCATGTTATTGATGTTGATATTGTCATTGCTGTCTTTAAGGATGGTTATGGAAAAGAAACTTAATGTAATTAAAAAATCACTTATATGTTAGATGAATCTTACAGGTATTACTAATGCCCAGTATCTATCTTCTGAGAGTTGATTTATCACAAACGTTCTATTATAGAACTTTTATTATTATCACTTACGTAAATATTGCTTCAACACTGAAATTGCTATTGTCTGTTCTTCCAAAAATTCTTTATTTTGTTTATATACAATATAATCTTCCCTAACAAAGCAAGTACATTAAGAGAAGGGAGTAGTTCACTCTTATTCCTGTATTCTTAGCACCTAGCACAATGTCTAGAATATATTAGGTGCTTACTAAATGATGATTATTTGTATATTCTCTCTATCAATGAAGATAACAACCCTCTCTAAACCTCAGTACATGAGTTTTCAATCTGTGGTACACATATCCCCATGGAGCATAAGAAGCTTTTCAAGACAGTATTTGACAAGTAACTCTATTATCTTATTTAAAGTTAATTGATTTCTTTATCTTATTTCTTATGTGCAAATGCATGGAAAACTCTAGAATTTATATCCTCATATTGAAAAGGAAGAACAGGAAGATTTATTAAAAGTCAAAAGGCAAGGGTGTGAAAAAGATTGGGAATCCCTGCTTTAGTAGATGTCTAAGTAAGTTGCTATGACTAAAGGGAAAAAAATCCCATCACTCCATGTCTAATTCCCTCTAGTTCTCTGAATTTGGCTAGGCTAGCACTTTGACAATTGAGTTACATAGTCTTTTGCCAGCCCTGACTTGAAACTTTAACAGTTTGGTAGAAGCAGTCTGAGTTTGGAAATAGACCAAGTAGAGGTATTGCTGAGTCAAGGAGAATAGGTAGTTTAATAACTCTTTGGGCATAATTCCAGATAGCTCTCCAAAGAGGTTAGATCATTTTACAATTCCACAAACAATGAATTGATGTCCCAATTTTTCCACATCCTCTCCAACATTTGTCACTTTCTCCTTCTATCATTTTAGACAATCTGACGTGTAAAATATCTCAAGGTTGTTTTAATGTGCATTTCTCTAATCAATAATGATTTAGAGCATTGTATATGACTATAAATTGTTTAAATTTCTTTATTGGAAATAAAAATAAAATTTTAAAAAATAATCAACAGATTAAAAAGAAGCAGCCTGAGTTTGTGTTCCCCAATATAGCTTTCATTAAAAGTTGGGCATAAGATGATGAGGCATCAGAATGGAGCTTTAGAGGAAATATAGGACCTGTTATGCTGAATTTCCTTCACCTTCTGCTCTATTTGCATAGCCATAAGCCAAGCTATTCCAGAGAAACCTGGAGTCCCAGAAAAAAATGTCTATATTACTGCTCTATAGATGAAGTCTAATAATGACAGTTGGTCTTGACCAAAATATTTCATTCTATTGCACTGTGTGGAATGCAACCTCAGAAAATATTTGGCCTAATGACTGAACCTCTAAAGAAAGCAAAACTGCTTTAGTTGTAGGACAAGAAGGAACAAGGGGACAAAATAATCCTCTATTTGATGTCATCTTTTCTTGCTGAACAAAGCCTTCCTATTTCCATTACTCTGAATATTTTCTGTTATAATTGTCCAATTTATATGTTTCATGGTTCATGGAGGCATGGAATAAAGATGCTACCCTGAATGCTGAGAACTGGGGGAAAAAATACATCCTTTCTCAAAGCCCTAGCAAGAACAGGAAGATTAGTTGTAAGTAAGATTTAACTGTCACTGAAAGTCACAGATCTATTAAACCTCTCCGTTTGAAGTTAAGTCATTAAAATGATGCTGAATTACAATCCACATTTAAAGCAAGAGGCAAGGGAGTGGTGGGGAGGGAGTTGCAATGACTTCATTTTTGAACTTTCCCTTCATAACCTCATTTCTGAGGAGATATGCCTTCCCTTCATTCTGCCTTCCCCTGCCCTTTCTCTTAACTGCATTTTTTTTTTGGATCAGTCAGTCAACAAGCTTTTAGTAAGCACTTACCATGTGCCAGGAACTGTGTTAAATACTGAAGAAACAAAGAAAGGCAAAAACAAACAAAAACTTCATCCAGCAAATATTTATTTTTGTTTGCTTATTTATTTATCTGCCTATTTATGTGCTTGCTTGTTTATTAAGATTGGGTCTCTCTTACGTGGAAATGTGTTTTGCATGACTAGACATGTATAACCTTTGTCAAATTGTTTGCCTTCTCAGTGAGGGGGAGAAGGGAGGGAGGGAGAGAATTTAGAATTCAAAATTTGAAAAAAAGAATGTTAAAATTGTTTTTACATGTAATTGGGGAAAAATAAAATAAAAAGATTAGGTCTCTCTATTTTGCCCGAGGTAAAAGGAAACAGACCTTCACTGGCTGAATCCCAATACTGATCAATTCAGAAGTGTTAAACTACTCTGTTTTTGTTTCTGTTTCTGTTTTTGTTTTTTGGTTTGGGCCTCTTTGCTCCTACTTAGACAGCCAGGTGGCCCTCCCCTGCAAGGGACTTCACCATATTGATTCTTGACTTTTTGTGGACACCTGCTTGGTTTCAGCCTTACTGAAGCTCAGAATCCCAAGCTAAGGTATCCACCAGCCTCAACCACCCCTAGTAGCAGAGTATACAAGTGGTCCACCATGCCTGGCTTACTAAGCTTTCCCTGGTTTGACAGCATTGACTATTATGGATCCATTAGGGGGAAAAATAAGGTCTAAAAGGTATAAAACAGAGCTTGAAACCTCAAAGCAGGATATAACACCTGCAAAGATAACTCAGATACAAAATAATGCATACTTGCTTAAGAGAGGAGAAAAGCATTGTGTAAGGTGAGAGGATGCTAGGTGGAAAGAGCACCAGGCCCAGAGTCAGGAAGACTTAAGATCAAATCTAGCCTCAGACACTTAGCAGCTACAAGATCCTAGGTAAGTCACTTAACCTCTATTTCCCTCAGTTCCTCTCATCTGTAAGAGGGGGATAATAATAATACATACCTCAACAAGGTTATTATGCAAGGTTGTTGTGAGGATCAAAGGAGATAACAATTTTAATGCTTAGTATAGTGCCTGGCACATAGTAAGCACTATATAAATGTTTATACATGTATGTATGTGTGTATGTATATGTATGGAGGGAAAAGACATTTTCAACTGGGGGGGGGAATGAAGGAATTCTTTCAGGTGGAGGAGGGATTTAGACTGCACATGAAAAGATGCAAAGGACTTCAGCAAGAGTAGAGGGGATTCCATGCAGAGAGAATAATATGAGAAACAGACCTTGGAGAGGGTAGTATATAAACTGGGGCCAGCAACAAGTCCAGTTTGGTTGGAACACTGTTTAAGTGGAAGGGAAGAGTGTGAGAAGAGGTTGGAAGGCCAAAGGTATGTCTTTAAATTCCTCTGGTAGAATTTAAACTCCTTGAGGACAAGGAATAGTTCACCTTTGCATTAATATACCCAGTGCCTAGCAAAGTGACTGGCACACAGTAGGTGCTTAACAAATGTTTCTTGATAGATTGATTTTTGATTAAATGCTAGGTTAAGGAGGTTGACATTAACTTAGTAGGCAGTAAGAAATGAATGAAAGGTTTTCAGCAGAAGACTACATGAGGAGATGACAAGGAAGAAAAATTTGGCAAATCTGTGAAACATGGATTTGAATGAATTAGAAAAATAATGCCTTGTTAAAACGCTATTTCAGCAGTCTGTGTGATTGTCAATAAAAGCACGTATAGGATTGGGATATTAGCAATGGAAAGAGAGAGGAGAACTAGTCAACAAGAAATATTGTAGGAATAGAATGAACAGGAATTAATAACTGATTAGATGTGGGAAATATTGTCAAAGATAATTCTAAAGCTTTGAACAGAGGAAATAGTGGTGGTGGTACTGATAGAAATAGCAAAGTCAAAAGGAAGAGAAAAATAATAGGTCAGTTTAAGATGCTGGCACTTAATCCATGGAAAGTTACCCTGCAGACATTTGAAGAGAGAGGTCTGGAGCTCTGAGAACCCAGAGTTGGAGATATATATCTGAGAACCATTTTGAAATGTTAACATTTGAAGCCATGAAAATGAATGAGATTACCAAGAGAGGGAATGTAGATGGAGAAGAGAAGAAACCTAAGGATATTCAACTGGCTAGAAATGTTCAGTTGCTCCCTATTATCTACCATATCAATCGACCAATCAATAAACATTAATTAAATGCCTACTCTGTGCCACTTTCAAAGCCTTATATAATCTGTTCCTATATTATCCAACCTTCTTTTCTATTGTATCTAACACATATCATCTGCTCTTTTAAGGTTTGTCTGCTCCTGTCCCACAAACATGCAATGTTTATTCCCACCTGTGTGCTTTTGATATTTCTTTGAACTGTTTTGTTTCTTCCTTGATGTTCTTTTCCTCATTATCTCCCCAGTTAAATGTTAGTGAACTCCAGCAGGTCAGAGAACACGTCATAGACTTTCCTGATGTCCGCCCAAAGATTGCTATTCAATTCGAGAATGTTTTTCCTCTGCTTTCTTGTCCTGTAAACAGAGAATTTTATTACTTCATTTAAAGAGAGATTCAGATGTGTTCATTGTTTTCACTCAGTAAAATTTAGTTAATAGACTAAAGTAAAATGAATCAGTCAACCAATGTTACCAATAATTTACACCTAAACCTACCTTCAGCATTTGAAAATTAATCATTTTCAAGTCTGAATTTGGATAGGAGATATGAGAAATTTAATGACTGATAGAAAAATTAGGGAGAATATGGTTCACTCAAAAGTGCTTTTGATATGATCATTGAACTACTCCCAAATTCTAACATGGAATGAATATATATATATATATATATATATATCTGGAGAATAAGATATCCAAAATGAAGAAATCCAAGAAAATCAAGAAATTCCCATTGGAATATTCATATTATTCTAATAAATCTTTTAAGGAAAATCCCTATTAAGTCCCTTTTGGCTGATGATCTCATCTGACCTCTTCATGTATATATAGATATGTGTATACATATACATGTGTATAGATACATGCATATATGTATACACACACACACACATGCATATATATATACGTATATATATCTTTTTTTTTTCCTTCTAGTTGCCAACTGTGGGGAAAATATCTACACGTCCACAGGCATCAAATCGTGGTCAGATGTAATTCAAGAATTCTATGATGAAGTGAAAGATTTTCTATATGGATATAGACCTACAAAAAAAGCTGTAATTGGTCATTACACACAGGTATAACTGTTAGCAAAGAAAAAAAAAGAAATGTAGAATGTGTTTATTATAACTTCTAGGAATTGCTTACATATTTTTCTCCTCATTTAGGTTTTCCTATTGGCATTATTAAAGGGTAGGCCAAGTAAACTTTGACCATTTAAAGTAATAGCACCATACTGCTGGAAGATACCTCAGGAACTACCTAGTTCAAGTCTCTCATTTTATAGATAAGGAAACCGAGCCCCAGAGAATTTAAGTGACTGACACAATGTCACATATTAGTAAGTACCAAAGGTAAGATTTGAACCCAAGTCCTCTGAATCCCAAGTCAGTGCAGTTTCCTCTATACCAGTCTAAAAGTCATACATTTGAAAGATCTCTTCTTTTGTAGAGCAGAAGCTACAATTTACAGACATAAACATTATCCCTTCATCTTCTGGTAGTCCATAAACAGTGATCAGATGATATGACTTTAATTTCTTTCCAGAATGGATTGGCTTAAATAGTTGTTTTAGGAATAAAATGACAGGAAGATCTCATAACAGTTTCCATTAAGCAGGGTTGACCTTTAAACTTTCTTCTAGCACTATGATTATAATTATGGTTAAATTTTTTTTTAAAAAAATCTAGATTTCCTTTAGGCCAGGACTCAGGGTATAATACTTAAGGAGAAGGGACCCATGGTATTATTTTATGCAATTTTAGTTTATATTTTTGGTCAGTGCCTGGAATTTCAGCAGTCCAAGGAGCTCCCAGTGTGGAAACATCCATTATTTGTGTGAATCAACAACTTGTCTTTAACTTACCATCTTTTAGAGTTTCCTTGGGCCTCATTAAGCTAGTATGTCAAAGATAGCCCTTGGACCCAGGTCTTCCTCACTCTAAAGCCAGCCTTCTATCCATTACGCCATACTGCTTCTCATGGTATTTTATACATGTTTTAGTTTGGAACACCTATGATTTCAATGGTATAAGGAACTCCTGGTGAGGAAACTCTCTCTACCAATTCAGATTGGTAACTGTTTTACAACATAAACTCAGAAAGTTGCCTGGGTTTAATTGTAGGGGAAAAGAGGGGGTGAGGTAGGGTCAGAAGGTCAGGTAGCAATAATGATGCCAGAAAAGAAAAGGATGGCCATTTTAACATTTTTTAAATGCATAGCCATTAACAGAATGAAGTTCAGAAGGAAGTACGGAAAAGGAGGGCAGCGTTTAAATTTAAATTTATATATATTATATATATATATATATATATATATATATATACACATACGTACATATATATATACATATGTATATATATATGATTTTTAAATTAGAGAATTTCCATACACACGTATCAGAACACCAAAAGAAGATTCTATATGAAATCATAAATCTCTGCTTTGTGCTACTTGCTTTAAGAAGATAGATATAAATATAGAAATAGATATATATATATATATATAAAGTAACATTTATTAAGGGCCTCCACTGCGCAAAGTATTGAGGATCTCACAGCAAAAGTGAAGAAGTCTCTGCCCTCAAGGGATATGATTTGAATCCAAGTCTCTCCTGACTCCAACTTCAGTAATCTTTCACAATGTATAATTAGTGCATGTGGGCAAGTATAAAAAGAGTTTTTCAATAATTAGCTCCTTGGAAAAAACCATTCTGCTTCATTTAAAATTACCTTTTTATCTACAGCTTGTTTGGGCAACTTCTCACCAGTTTGGCTGTGCTCTATCCCACTGTCTCCATAAGAAATTCCAGTACTTCTATGTATGTCATTATTGCCCAGTATAAGTAGAGAATGGGAACTCAATGTTTTAGGGGGGAGGACAGAATGGGAAATGTTGATGAGTTAGATGCCTTTGGTTAATTATAGATTTAGTCCTAATGAACCCAGAGGAATTTCTTTCAAAAAAATCTGTAGAGAAGGACACATGTTGAAATGACTCATAGCCACTAAAGGGATGTGTGACCTTACACTTTACTTCTCTTTGCTTCAGTTTCCCCATTGGTAAAATGAGAAGCTTGACCTATATGTTCTCTAGCAGACCTTCCAGATTTGATATTCTAGGACTCTACATGCTATTCAATCAACTCCAGGGGCTTCCTATTGTTTCAGGGTATGAAAAATCAGAAAAGGATGACTTTTCCATCATTTTTAAGATGTATATAAAGGACCCTCCTTCCACTTTCTCTTCATTTCTTTTGTGGAAAGAAAAAAATGAGGAGAGAACTAAGAGAATTTATATTATCATGGTACCTTAAAGATGGAAGAAGCCTTAGAAATCAGCTCTTCCAACCCCCCCCCCTTACAGATGAGAAAAATAAGGCCAGAGATGGGTAGTGACTTGCCCGAAGAAGCAGCAGAGCTGGGACTAAAAAGCAGGTCTCCTGCTTGCCAATACACTGTTTTTTTTCTGGTATACTATAACCCTTACAAAGAGGGTGGTGATGAACCACAAAGAAAGAGAAAACAAGCTTAAACTTTAGGTAAAAGGTAATTAGATTATACTAAAGAAGAATGTGTGGATAATGAAAGCTGTAAGATATTGGAATAGGCTAGCAATGTGAAAAATTCTCCATAAGCCTCTACATAAGCTCCATGTTTCCCCATCAACTCGGGATGTCGATTTTTGGAATAAATGTAAAGGAGAATATTGTTTTTCCATCAAAGTGGAGCTGTGGACTTTCAAAGAGTCTTCTGACATCTCTCTAGAGTTACATATTTGAGAGAGAGAGAGAGAGAGAGAGAGACAGGGCTTACACAATTTCAGGTACTGTACCAACCTCTCAAATTTACCCTTATGACATATTTTAGCACTGAGAGATTCTGTGGTGCTTTTCATCTATTGAAGTCATAAGAGTTCTAGAGCTAAGGCATGTAGATTAAGTTACTTGACATAGCTACTTCATGGAGACCTTGAATCCAAATTGTTTAATCCCTCTGCTAGTTTTCATTTTGTTTCACCAGGCCACTAAGTGAATGAATCCACACGGCAAATTCCTTAAGTAGATTTCTAAAAGAAGCAAATTCTTTGAGGCACTAGAATCACATCTGTTGTACTTTCCTGTGTATGTGCTTAAGACACTGTTGTATGCATCAGGGCACTTAATTATCAAAAAAGTGTTAATAAAAGTTCACTTCTATGGTTTACAAAGTCCTTTCCTCGTAATAACCATGTAGAATAGATAATATGAGTATGGTTTTCCCTATATTTCAGATAAGGAAATTAAACCTTAAAGAAACTAAGGGATTTGCCCAAGGTCACACAGCTAAAAAGTGGTGGAGCCACTCAAACTCAGGTGTTCTTGGTCCTAGTATACTCCCTTTTAAAATAAGTAGCATGATTGAAGAACTGAAAAAAAATTATTTAGCGATGAAAAGATTACAAGACTAAAGAGAAAAGCCACCACTTGTTTTTATCTTTAAAAAGAAATATGGTACATAGTGCATAGTGCCTGGACCATAGTAGGCACTTAAAAATACTCATTTATTTATTTATTGACATTTCTAACTTCCAGGGGCAACATCAAGAGATCAGATAGACCAGATGCTCTCTACAAACCTTATAAGACAGGAAAGTTATGTGGTGACTGCCCAGACCAATGTGACAATGGACTGTGCAGTAAGTAATTCCCAATGAGAGTCATCAAGCCTTACACTTTTATGCCATTCATGTTGTTTTTCCTCCCTTGCTTTAACTAATTCTTGCCTGTCATTTAAAGGGCAACTCAAATGCCACCTCCCACTTCTCTTCCTCCTGGTTAGTAATGGCCTTTCCCTTTCACAGCACTGTGTTTTGCAACTCTTGAATGAACTTACAAGTCAGCCAGGCAATGAATATTTGTTAAGCCCATGTCATATGCCAGGTGCTGTGCTAAGTGCTAGGGATACAAAGAAGGGCAAAAGTCAATCCCTGTTCTCAAGAAGCTCATTGTCTATTGGGAGAGCAAAGAACTATGTACAAACATTTACAGAGTAAATTGGAAATGATTAATAGAGGGAAGACATTAGATTTAAGGGGGTACCAGAAAGGCTTTTGTGTACTATAATTATCTTTCAAATAATCACTCAATCAATAAACATTTACTCAACACCCACTATGTACCAGGTACTGTACTAAGTACTGGGGATGCAAAAATGGTAAAAACAAAAAAAAAAAAAAAAAACCAGTTCCTACCTTCAAGAAGTTTACAATCTAATGGGAGAGACACCATGTAAATTTATACAAAGCAAAATACATGCAGGACAAATAAGAAATAATTAGAACAGGGAAAATGCTGGCATTGAGGGTTAAGAAAAGCACCATATAGGTAGAATTTTAGTTGAGACTTAAAGTCAGGGAGTTCAGTAGTTAGAGCAAAAGAGGGAGAATGTTCCAGGCCTGGGGGACAGCCAGAGAAAATACCCAGAGCAGACAGACAGAGTGTCTTTTGTGGAGCAGCCAGGAAGCCAGTATCATTGGCTCAAAGAGTTAAGAGAGTAAGGTGTAAAAAAAACTAGAAAGGTAGGAGGGGGCTAAGTTTTGAAAGGCATTGAATACCAGACAGAACATTTTGTGTTCTCTCCTGTAGGTAATAAGAATCCACTAGTGAGAGAAGACAGCAAAAGGTTGTAGGTACCAGGGGGCCAGTTGTGATAGTGCTACTAAAGGGATAAAGGTTCTTAAAAAAAGAGATTAAAGAGTGCTAAAGACAGAATTTGCCTCCTTCACAATTTGAATTGAATCAGCCTTCATCTGTACGCTAAACTGAAGTATATTGGGAAATCCAGGAAGGAGGTATGGAAAGCCTCTTCTCTTTCTGAACTTAGGATCACGCAATGGGAAAAGAAGGATAAAGTTAATGGTGTACCAATATGTGGGTGGGTGCTAATTTATAGAAAGTACATGCTTAGGGATGTGTATGAAATATTCATATATTGATGGAAGAGCACACTGTTCAGATGATTATTGTTGTTGTTTTGCTGTTGTTATATAATGTAATTTATATACAACATATATGCATGTGTTATACATATGCATATATAAAATATATTTTTAATGTAGTGATTTTCCTAAAATGCAGCTTGGTGACACAGATAGAGTACCATGCTTGGAGTCAGAAAGACTCATCTTCCTGAGTTCAAATCTGGCCTCAGACACTTACTTGCTGTGTGACCCTAGGCAAGTCACTCAACCCTGTTTGCTCAGTTTCCTCATCTATAAAATAAGCTAGAAAAGGAAATGGCAAACAACCCCAGTATCTTTGCTAAGAAAACTCCGAATGAGGTCACGAAGAGTCAGACATGACTGGAAAATGACTGAACAACAAGAAGACTCAGTTCAGTGTAGCACATAGCTGCCTATCAATTGGGGAAAGGGGAAGAAAGGATAAAAAAGGGGCAGGAAGGACAGGCAGTCACTGGGAAGGGAGAGCTCTACTAAGACAAATGATGCTAACAGGACATCTGGCTGCTAAGATACGAAACCCTTTGGAGCATAAAACACTTGGGGCTAGAGGAGAGATGATGTTTTCTTTTTTTCATTCCATGAGGTCCTGAGTCCTCAGAACACCACCTATACTGCTACAGTAAAATTATTTATTCAGTAAACAAAGATGCTTTAAAAAATCTGAGACTCAGGAGCTTTTGCATGAATAAATGAAAGAATTCAAGAATAAATGAGAGAAACACATTTATTAAGCTCTTACTATGTGCCAAGCATTGTGCTAAGGGCTGGAAATCAAAAATGAAAAGAAAGATAGTATAAGTTATGATAATTCACCTAGTGTGCTAAGGAGTCACATTTTTTATCTGGCTTTTATTTTCATTCAGCCAATCCCTGCATGTATGTGGATCATTACTCTAATTGCCCTAAATTAACCAAAAGTGCAGGATGTGATGATAATACTATGAAAGAAAAATGTCAAGCTACCTGCAAATGCCCGACAGAAATCAAATGAAATCTCCATCTGCAGCAAGACCTCATCTGAAGTACAAGTGTTTGACTTGAAAATAACACATTCTAAAACTGAATATGTGCCACTTGGATTGAAATGCATGTTTCTTCCTCCAAAGTTGAGAATGGTTTCTATTAAATTTATTGTTTATTAGATATGTCCCTCTCCTTTCCCCTGTATTTCACTTGTTCCTGTATTAGCATCATTAAAATGCAATTTTGACCTTGGAATGGATCCATGATCTCTTCAGGATGGCCGCTTCTTCTATTGGTGACTGCAACCCAAACATGTTGTATGATTGTTGTCCATATCTATATTTAAATCCTCCATAGTTGATCTTCTAGTCATTTCACTGAAGAATCTCCTAATAGTGTTTTAACTCCTAGTGGAATACCAAAGAATATCAAATAAACTGTGAAAAAAACGTAAAGGAAGGAGGTTAAGCATTACCAGATCTTAAACAATCTTATAAGGCAGTAATTATCAAAACTATATGGTACTGGCTAAGAAATAGAAAGGCAGATCAATGCAAAAGGGTAGACATACAATTTATGACAACAAATAAATATAATGACCTTGTATTTTACAAGTGTGAAAACTTAAGATTTTGGGATAAGAATTTATTTTTTGGTAAAAAAGAAAATACTGGGAAAACTAGAACGCAGTATGGCAGAAACTGAGCATGGACCAATATCTTATACCATTTACCACAATTAGATCAAAATGGGCACATGACCTAGAAATAAAGAGAAAGATTACAAGAAAATTAGAAGAACATGGAACATATTACTTATCAGACTTATGGATAGGAAAACAATTTATGAATAAACAAGAGAGAGGAAGCAAAGTAAGGT